ATGGTACTTTGGTAATGTTGAGGAATTAACTATGTTGATTTGCTTTTGCAGTTGGAAATTCGTTGATGAAATAATACTGTTTTTGGTAGGTTGGAATGTTTAGATTGGTTTTGGAATTGTGTTGTCATTCATATTGTTATTGCTATTCTAGAGTAACTGTCTTTGTGATTATCCAATATGATGAATTACTGATATTGTCATAATTGTGTTTATGGGTTGTTTTATGTGGTTATTGATATTTGTATTGAAATTTTAAATGATTTTGCTGAATACATTATTTTCAATTGTCAATTACTTGTAATTTCATATGTGCTTGGATGAGGATTATTTGTGTTGTTTGGATTAATACTTCGAACATTGTTGATGTTGTCTGCTTCATTGTTTTTTTATTATTCAAGATTATTTTTAATATCTTATTGTTATATTATTAGAAGTTGGAACTTTGTATTTTCTTTTACTTTCATTAACTGATTATTTTATTTAACATGCAGGGTTTCTTAAATTGGTATTTTCTTGTAGTTCATTGTGTTATGTGAGACCTTTTTTTTTTGATAAGATTTTGATTTATGTTGTATTAGTCCCTCATATTACTCACTAATTACTGTTATTTGTTTCTTTTTAAGGTATGTTATAATGCAAGTATTTTAGACCGTTGCTTTGGTATTATTGGTTGCCTAATTATTGTTGTTGGTTCATATCATTTTAATTGCAAGTAATATGCATAGGTTTTTTATCTAGTATTGACTGATTTGTGATATGATTTTTTTTTTGAGATTGTTTTGCCAATTTTGGGAAATTTCTGTTAGCTTTGAAATGGGGGAATGTTGTGTGTTTAAGGATGTTGTGATTGCTCAGTCAATATTGCTGATTTGGATGAATTTACTTGTGACTGTTTTGGTGGAAGATGATTGCGACTGTTATTGTATGCATGGAGTTTTGTGTTTGTGAGGATTTTTTCTGCTATTATATATTTTTGCTCTTAAGGAATTGACTTTGTTCTTTAAAGTTAGTCTTGAAATTTTTATTATGTAATTGATTGGTAATTTTGGTATTTAAATTCTTTTACATGAGTCGATATTTTTTGGGGTAGTTTAAAACTTTCTTACAATTGACTTATATTTCTTCACAGAAGGTTCAACTGATAGGTGTTTTATAGCTTCATGTTTCTGTCTGATTTGTATTACCTATGTCCTTTACAGTCTGGAGTGTTTATTTGCCATATAGTTCCTGTATGACATATTGATTGGTTCTGTGAGTTCATTTTTGGGATTGTTTATGATTTCTATATATACTTTTCTTTATTTTAACCCGTTTTGCTTCTTTGAATTACATTTGTTTGATTGCAAATTATGTAGGAATTTATTTATGAACAATGCGGTACATTTTAATTGTCCTATCGTTATTTTATATAGTATATTATCTTTTTAATAAAAATTAGGTGTAATTTTATTTATATATAATTATGTATTTTGTATTGGAGGAATTATTGTGAAGTAGAAATTTGTAACCGCTTATGGCCTATAGACTAGGTTATTGAATATTGTTAAATAAATAAAATAAAAATAAAAATTCGACACAAATAAGTTTTGTGTACATACATATGAATCACTCTACGAAATTTTTCTGGAGAGGACCGTAATTGGTCATAGCTCCTATATAAGGTCCACTTTCATTAATAATTCATTAATAAATCTATTGGAGTAATATTCGACTTGAATTTTTTGTTTGCATATAAATCATTATACGAAATTTTTTCTTGATAGGTCCATAATTGGTCACAACTCCCATATAAAGATCATTTCCGAAAATTGCTTAAATGCACATTGACAATCAAAGTCATCGGGATCAAATTCGACATAAATGTGTATTTTGTATATATAAATCGTTATACGGAATTTTACTTCTGAAAATCACTTAATACCACTTAATTCATTATTAGATGATAACCAGATAAAATTCGACATGAGTATGTTTTGTATAGATAAATCATTATATTAAAATGTTTGCAACTGGCCTTTTAATATAAAATTTTATGAACCTAATCGAAATTAGTTCCACATATGCATAAATATTAGTACCCTCACTACGGAAACAAAAATTTTGAGAAGTTATGTAAAAATTAGATAGTTAAATGGGTTTTAATAAAAAGTAGCTTGCTGGTGGAGGGTATTTAAGATTCGGCATAGCCGAATCGAGTTTGCTTTTATTCCTATATAAAACTTAGTTGTGCCAATTTTTGGAGAGATAGTAGTATATTTGACGTAGTTTTGAGTTAAAAAGCCCAAATCGAAAGGTCTGGTTGTATAGGGACTAGGATAAATAATGGACCAATTTCAACCATTTTCAATAGTCCTTGTGCCGAAAAACTCGTATGGTCCAAATTTTATCAAAACATCTTGTAGCTTGCGCACAAGGTTTACATGGACAGCCAACCAGCCTACATCACTATAGTGGGGAGGGTATTTTGCGTTTGTGCTGATGTTTGTAACGCATAAAAATATTGGACCTACACCCACTTTTAAGTATACCGATCTAACCGGATGAACTACATCCAAGGAACAGATGGATAAGCTGCGATATGTACGATATAACTATCAGGAAAAAGGTATTTCGCGGTATACTACTGGGTGGCATTTTGTCACTATTACTCTGGGTTATCACGATTAATAGCCTACTAAGGACCCTAACTGATAAAGGACTTAAAACTGCTATGCAGACGATGTCGTAATACTTTTAAATGGAAAGGATCCAAATAACTTATGTAGAAGAGCTGAGGAGGCTCTGAATACGGCCTTGAGCTGGGCTCAACCGAGAGGCCTCAATGCTAACCCGGCGAAGACGGAAATCTGTCTTTCACAAGAAAGATAAAAATTTCTACGTATAATGAACCCTGCTTCCTAGGCAAGAAGATACCAGTGACAAAGTTCAAAGTCCATTAATTCAACTACCCCCACCACCTTCCGGTTTGGGGTTTTTAACTCATAATTATGTCAAATATACTACTATCTCACCAAAAATGTATAGAGGCATAAACGACTATGCCAATTTTTATAATGATCGGCCGCCCCCATTCAACCCCCCTTTAAAAAAATATCTTAAACGTCCAAAAATTGACTTGTAACCATTAGTGATGAAATTCTGCATAACTAACATCCCTCTTCCCAATTTGTTGAGTATCTGCCCATATTTGACCCTAACTCCCATAAAAAGCGTCTTTTAAAAATTTTGTTTTTCATCAATAAATTGCTTTATTTAATACATCGGAATTAAGGTAAAATTCAACATAATAGTTTTTTATGAAAAATAAATAATTTTTAAAATATACCCATGATGTAGGGTACAATATAGTCGGCCATGCCCGACTATACTTTCATACTTGTTAGTTATTTAAATCATACTGAAAATACCGCTAAAATATATTTTTGTACACTACCGATAACGCTAAAATATCAATACCGAAATAAGCCAAAATACCGATAACGCTAAAATATCAATACCGAAATTAGTCAAAATACCGATAACGCTAAATTCCAATACCGAAATAAGCCAAAATACCGATAACGCTAAAATACCAATACCTAAATAACTCAAAATGCGGATACCGCTACCTTATCACCGTTTCGAAACGGTTGCCAACCTTGATTTGCACTTAAATTCGAATTTTAAATCGGCTGTGGTTCCTTCCTTTAACACCTAAATCTATCTAAAATATCATTCATATCTCCCCTTAAAATTTCTATTTATAGGTATAACTCTTTAAAAAATTACTTTAAATAACTCTCAATTTGAGAAAACAATAAAGATCCGTAATCACACATATTTTCTATACAAATCGAGTTTTATATCACAAATAAAAAATTTTAATTTATTGTTAATCTATGGTCAGATAAATATGCCATCAAAAAATTATCTTGATATAAATTCGGTTGCCATTTTTCAAATACAGATCAAATCTAAAAAAACCATGAAGATATGTTCTTCCTAGTTCGTATATGGACTTTGGATAAGTGAGGAATTCAATGGTTTTCCTTGGATACAAGTTGCTCCTCTTTGGCAGTTAAAGATTTTAAAAGACAGTGTGTATTTTCTATTAATTCTCTGTGTCATTTCATCAATCACTATATTTTACATTTTTTAATGACATTGATTAAATATCTCATAATTGTATTCCATTGATTTACACTTGTTTTAAAAATATAATCAATTTTTTATATTGGAATTCCCTCATTATTATTCATTAAACATTTTTAACGCAAATAACTTCAAAGTTTCACACAATGACTAAATGATTTTTGCAAATTGCAATTGGAAAATACTTAACACATGTCCTTTCAACAATAAAACAATAATTTCCAAAAAGTAATTAAAAAATAATTTGAAAAATCCAACGAAATTAACTGGAATTCTCAATATGCAAAATACTTTATTGAAGTGCAAATTCTGATGAAAAATAATAAAATGCAACAACAAATGAACCAAAATATGTATTTTAATATTTTTTCTTGGTTTTCCCATTTTACACAATCTCTATTTTCAATTGGAAAACATAAATTTACTTTTTACCTGTTTTTTCGAATTTTATTTATGAACAAAAAACAAAATTCTCTTAAAAAAGGATAGGCAAAAAACTTAGTTGATTCACTGTATATATATTGGCAATATAAACCATTTTTTCATACAAAATATTTTCTTGTCAACCAGTTAAACCTTTCTATATTTTTTTAGGCAAATACTTAATTCACTGTTGGAAATAACATTTTTGTTAAAAATTTCCTACAAATCAAATACAACTATTTTTATTTATTCTTGAAATTATAAATGGCTTAAATAAGTTCTTTTTCCAAAATTAAGATGGCGAGTGCAAATTATAATTAAAAAACTTAAAAATAATAAAAAAGAAATATTTTTTCCTTTACAAACAAATATTTGTTAGCCAGTTATATCTTTTTAATGTTTATAAAATAGATATTTATTCAAGTCAATATCTTGCAAACACTTACCTAAGTTTACTTTCTCCCAACAAACAATCTTGTTATTTATTTTTGGTCTTTTTGCACAAATAAAATTATTTTCCCAATTGGAATAGCCACAGTCTTACTACACAAACACACATATAACCACACAAATTTATTGATATTTTTTTAACTTCTTTCTAATTATTATAGCTCGCACAATAAATAATATCTCACTGAATATTACGAAAAAATATAATTATTTAATAATACAACCCGATTTTTATAAACGCTTATTTCGCTTCATAAAATATAGGGAAAATATGTACAACTTATTGACATTAAAAAATATATTCATGAAAATTAGTTCTGATACTTTTTTAGTTAGTAATTTATCGATACAATACAGAGTTGCCATATCGAATATAGGATACCAATCATATTGTCCCGTCTACACGTAACATAAAATGAACGACTTTTTCTCTTTGATGATAAATTCTATAAAAACTACATAAGGTTTAATATATATGTATATATATATGAAATATTGTTATTTTCTCAAACATAGGTAATGTGAGTGAGTACAAAGAGAATAAGGGTAACATATTTGTTTTGTTTTACTTTTGCCAAACAAATAAAATAGATAATGATGATTGTACAACAAATAACTTATTGTATGCTGCAAGCGCATAAAAACACAATAGTTTTCAAATTTGTTTTATTATTTTAAAATGTATATTCAGTATCTATCTATAGGAGATATCGTAGCAAACCTTTACATAGTTAGAGCTGAGGTGTTTTCGTATCTACTTACAATCTTTAGACTCCGTAGGTCCATTGGAGTCCAGTGGTAAGGCCCCTAAAATTGGTCACCTGGACTAAATTTTTTTAAAATCAATAAAAAGGCATTTATGATCCGTATTAAAAAAAACTTTAATGGAAAATTACAAAATAAAACTTTTGAAAGATCTCAGTACAATTTGCCAAAAAAAATAAGTTTCTTAAATTTTGTCGAAATGCATCTCAGATATTCCCTAATTTTGAGCTTATTGCGGGAAAAATAATTGTAAAATTTGTAAGAATATTTTTGGTCCACAAAAAGACTTTTATTTAGCGCATTACAAAGGACACAAAAATTATGATTTTTTTCGATATATGATAAAATTATCGTAATTTTAAGAATATTTCGATCAAAGTGTTTACAAAGATATTTAGCGTTTTATTAAACGACTTTTTTAATTTATGTAGAAATTCTAAAGCACTAAAAGTAATTCTGTGGAATAAAAGTACTTCAAACAATTTTATGATTATCACAAGAAGCTGTTTCTCGGGACACTCATCTTTACGTCAGATATTAAGCTTAGACATTTTTTGAAATACATTTTTCAAAATTTAAAACAAATTCTTTACGTCAGATATTAAGCTTAGACATTTTTTGAAATACATTTTTCAAAATTTAAAACAAATTCTCTTAAATAATGTATTTTAATTTTAATTTTTTTATCAACTAAATGATGTACATAGTCTTGCCGATTTTTTGAAAAGCCCTATTCGGGGGTACAGTTGTGGGCTAGGTGAAACAATGGATCGATTTTAAGCCTTTTCATTGGGTCAAAAGAAGAATTATACCCTCCCCACTGTAGTGGTGTAGGGTATAATTAACCTAAGTCAATACCTCTTCCACTACTTATAAGGAATATCTACATATATGTATATATGTTTTCATTAGTTATTGATTTTATGTCGATTAAAAAATAGAACTCTAGAGACCACCTAAGAGTATGTAAAATTTCATTTCAATATTCTCAAGAGTTCACTAGAATTATTTTCAGAAAATGTTGAATTACTATCAGAAAATATCACAGGAAAAACTAATTTTAAAAAATTTCAGTTAAACGATTAATCAACAATTTTAAAAGGGTTCATTTCATTTTGTATTTGTTTCATAAAAATGTATAATCAAAAACGTATTTAACAACAACAATAAGAGAAACAAATAAATATTTTGTGTATGAAATCAATCAAAAATGATACTTCAATAAATAAAATAATTGAAAACGAGGTTTTGGTAATTGAATTCTTTTTTCAGTTTTTCTGTGAATATAAAGAATTTTAAAATTATAATTTTTAATTAAATTTGTTTAAAAAATGTGTAAAAAATAATACATACATATGTATATGTATAAAAAAATATTCACTAATTTGTCACATATTTTTCTTTTGTTTTGAAATAAGTCTTATTTAATATAAATAAACATACTGCATCAATATAGATTCTTTGTATTACTATAAGTAACAACAAATAGTCAAAAATATTTGTAGTACAATAGTTATTTGAGAGCAAGAAACAAATACAATACAGTATTCAACTCAAAACCATAACTACCGGTCCACACTAGAAAACTATTTTTGGGAAACTTTTGATTTTGCGTGAGAGAGAAAGAAATATCATTCATCTCTCTCGCGGTACGGAGTTTCAAGTACTCGGAAACTCGTTTTGTTTTGTTATTCTTCTCATTCATACAAGAACAAATCAATGCAATTAACACGTAGTTTCTGAAACAAAAGTTCCTATGTGTAGACATTAAGGAAACTTTAAAAGAGAATTAAGAAAAAGTTTCTGATCTAAAGTTTCTGTGTGTGGACCGGCACTAAGCAACTGGTCAAGGCGAATTCAGATAAGGTGGTGTTATTCAATCAGCTGATTATTTTTTTCTTCACTTGACTGGTACGCACTGATGTCAGAGTTTGTTATTGTTTACATTTTTATATTTTAAACTTTCCGTTAAAACAGAGAAAAACTTCGTTAGTATTTTGAATAATTTATGTAAAAAATCTGAAAATACCAAGCATTTTGTAAACAAATATTTTTCATATATAAATAATGAATAATTGGTACGCATGTAGCAACTTAACATAACAATAATATTTTTTCTATTAAATGTTAACAAAGTAAACAAAAATATAAAACAATTTTATATTTACACTTTGTACATAACGCGATTAACTAAAAAAATTCTCTTCCGGAACACTATATAAAAAACCCACATGAGGTATTAACCCGACCGGCGGCAGCTATCTTCTACGTTATGGTAAAATTTTGAGATCTGAAAAAAATTTTAATAAATTGTTTTATTATTTTTTAGAATTTTCCATTTACAACAAAGATTCTTTTATTCGGTATACATATCTATACAAGTCTATGTCATCTGCATTCAGGTGTTCCGCAGGGCTCTGTGTTAGGACCTTTGTTATTTATTCTATATGTAAATGATCTGTATTTGTGTACCAATTCAGTGTCCTGTGAAACATTTGTGTATGCTGATGATGTTTTTCTTTTGTTCAATGGTGTTCGTGAATCTACTTCTGAATCGTTTGTTAATAATGTTAATTGTTGTCTTAATCGTGTTGTAGAGTGGACTTCCAATAATGTACTTGCCATAAATCCTACAAAAACTATTTTATTTGGTACTGACGACGTTTTAACTGATATGAATTTTTATCTTGGTAATGTTTTAATTGAGAATGTTGTTCGGCATAAATACTCTGGATAATAATCTTTCTTTTTGTTATCATGTTGATTTAATGTCTGGTAAAATCTGTGCTATTCTCCGTAAAGTTTTTTAATTAATGTATATTTTCCTCTGGAAATTTAATTAAAACTGGCTCATGCTCTTATGATGCCTCAGGTTATTTATTGCCATGAGGTTGTATCGGGGTCATCTGTGACTACACTTGATAAGTTAAGACGTATAGTTAATATGATTGTAAGATTTTTGTATAATCATATATCGGCTTATGTTTGTCAGTTTCTTCGTTGTTCGTTCAGTGACTTTGTGAAATATAGAAATTTAACTCTATTTTATATTGTTATTAGAAATGACTTTCCGTCTGGCTTATGAAATAAATTTACATTTCTGAGGTCTTCTAGATATCCTCAGCTTTTTATTCCAAAAATTTTCAAATTAAGCTTTGAGAGATCATTTACAGTCAGAATTGCGCGTTATTGGAATGGCTTGCCTTACGAATTAGTTTCACTTGAGCGGTTCTAGTGATATTAATATCATAATATGTTGCTTAAAGCTAAGTCATTTGTGATCTGATGTACCTGTTTATTACATTATTATTATTGTATGAGTATTACTTCTTATTGGGACTTGTTAACTGATGTTTTATTTAACTTTATGAATTTTCTTTTTATTGTTTATGGCTGGGGAGCCAATTATTTTTATGTTTGTATGATTGTAGCTATTAGATACATACATTGTAATTTACCTAATGTTAGATACTCAGGATTTTTATTGCTAAGCAATTCATGTTTATATTTTGGCCTTATAGGCTTTGTATTGTGATAATGAATGAATGAATAAATAAATAAATATAATTTTTCCATAAATTTTTAAATTTTTATTTTTATTTTTTACAAAAATATTAATTTCATTTGGAACAAATATTATTCCACTCAGGGTATATTATCTTCACAAATTTTTATATTTTTTAATAAAATATAAAAATTTTTCAAAATATTTTCATTAAATGAATTCGCTGCAATTATTGTTTTTGACATCAGTGCAAAAACAAATTACATGAACAATTTTGTTGTTGCCGAACTGCCACCACCTTATTTAAATTCGCCTTGCAACTGGTATTGTTTTTGTGGATAGAGTCAGTGTTGCCAACTTAGTGCTTTTAGCACTATTTGCGGTGCTTTTTGATGTGCCTAAAGCGCCTTGGCGACACATCAGTTTGTTTGACTCAAACGGTAAGATTTTTGATTGTGTTAGTAAAAAAACTTGCACCGCATACGCTTCAAACATTTAGAAGACAAAACTATTGCGCATCACCCCAGACGTCACGTCAGAAACACTTCTGGACGATTGTCAGACGAGAGCACACGTTTTACAAAAACAAAATGCATTGATTTCGAATATTCGTCTTCTAGAAATATACTTTTAAGTTACTTCCGGATGATAGTTAGAAGAGTACATCCATTTTGCCTAAACAAAAAACCATGACTGTTTTATTTTATTCATCTGGAAGTATATGTTTTAGTGACTTCTGCATGAGAGTTGGGTGAGAACACACATTTTACAATAACAAAATACATTGTTTCCTAATTTGTATCTTCTTGATTTGTTTGTTTGTGTCACTTCTGGAAGACAGTTTGAAGAGTGTTCACATTAATGATGTATTTTATTCATCTGGAAGTGTGGATTGTATTCACTTCTGGACGATTGTCAGACTAAAGCACACATTTTACAAAAACAAAATACATTGATTTCTAGTTTTTGCCGTCTGGAAGTATACTTTTAGGTTACTTCCGGATAAAAGTAAAAAGAGTACAAAAAAATATAAATACTCAATTTTTTAGCGTGA